AAAGGTTTGCCATCACTGGCCTAGTATATTAATGGTTGTGATTTCATCATTTGAACTGTAGTTTTTATTTCTTATCTCTTGTATAAGTAAACTATTCTAATGTAAAATAACTGTACCAGCCTATGTAATTTTCAGATTAGAAGATATATATTCTCCATAGAGCTGCTCCGAGCATCCAGAGTGGGAGGTGCTCCAGTCTCTCTCTCACAGGCTGAGCTTTAATTGAGGAACGCTCCTCCCCGTCCATGTGACTCCCTCGTAGCGTTCCCCAGTTTTAGCTCAGCCTCGCAAGAGACAGGCAGTTTCTAGCAAAGCTCCTTGGCCGATTCAGGATTTAACAAACTATATTCAGGAACCTCACCAGGGTCAGGTACTTCCCCAGGGGGATATCCCCTTTCCAGAAGGGGAGGAGGAGGAGGAAGAGGAGACAGGTCTAGAACACTACAGGGAAGAGGAAGAATTTGATATGGGGTCCGTACACTACTCTGAACCCCTTTCAGAGGTGGAACCAATGGAAGCAGAAATGTCGGAGGACGAGGGTATTTCCCCTGACCAGCCCACTTTTGTGGGCTTGTTCAAACCCCACCTGTTCAAGTCCTTATTGTTTAAGGCAAAAAATATTTCTGGACTGGTGTCACAGTCACCCTCTGATACTTCCCCAGCAACCTCTGGTGACCCAGAGGATTCCATCTTCAGACAGCCGGTCGTGGAGGCTGAAGTGATTCCTACTCCACCCATTTTCTCTGACCTGGTAGCGAAACAATTGGCTTCAACAGGGGCGCCTCCCGCCCCCTCCAGTCAGGATAGGAGATTTTTTAATCTCGATGCGGAGTTTTCCACCCTGTTAGAGACTCCCGAGGTTGACGAGCCCATAGTGGGGCTAGCGTCATCCTCTACCCCAAGCGACGCTTTGGAAGCTCTAAAACCAGAGGACAAACGGGCCGAAATGGCGTTACGCCGGGTGCATCAATCTAATGCTTGGGCCATACGAGCAGCCACGGCTGCATCCTTTTTTACACGATCCTCCATTAGATGGCTCCGTCAATTAAAGCAGCATGTCCCCCCATCCAATACCAGGGCACACCAGGACATTGCCAAGCTTACGGCAGCAGCAGAATTCTAGGCTGACGCTACTTTCCATGCCGTTAAGTTTTCCACCAGGGCTATCTCCTCCCAGGTTACAGCTCAGCATCTGCTCTGGCTCAAACATTGGCAAGCAGACGTCAAAAACAAAGTAAAATTGGCTTCTGCTCCCATCTCGGGAGGCAAACTCTTCGGTCCGGCCCTTGACCCTTTATTAATGGAAAGCCGAAATAAGAAAAAATTTCTTCCATCTCTCTTTCGCAGATCTGAAGGCAGAGTATCCCAGCCCTTTCGGAGGGGATCCTTTCGAACCTCCTATCAGACACCCTTCTCTCCCAGGTTTCAGAGAGCCCCGCCCTTTCGGTCGGTCCGACCCCAGGATCGAACCGACCCCGGTGATAGGAACAGAAGGGGTGCCAACTACAAGAGACCCTTTCGGGGCGCAGGTAGTAAGCCTTTCCAGCGCCCAAGATAAGTCCCTCACCTCCCATCCCATTGGCGGATGCCTTAAACACTTTGCCGACCAATGGGAATCCTCTACATCTGATGCCTGGGTTAGAGACACCATCAGATTCGGCCTCTCCCTTGAATTTCAATCCCCTCCCCGAGCATTTCAGGATATCCCCTCTTTCTAAAGATCGCACCAAACGTGGCCTAATAGAGGCCGCTGTCAAACATCTCATTGAAATCAAGGCGATACAGCCCGTCCCACCTTCGCAACAGGGAAGAGGGTTTTACTCTCACCTCTTCATCGTTCCTAAACACTCTGGAGGGTGGAGGCCCATATTAGATTTGAAAAGGCTTAACCGATACATTATCCGGCATAAATTTAAGATGCACACGCTACAGTCTATTCTTCAGGGTACCAGGAAGGGAGACTGGCTCACTTCACTCAGAGGCATACCTATACATCGCTATTCGGCCCTCCTGTTTCAAATTTCTGTGATTTTGCTATAACAGTCAACACTTTCAGTATGTGGGATTTCCGGTCTGCAGCGCTTCGGAGCAGGCAGGAATCCGCGACTGTGCGCGGTTTCTGCCTGTGTTCACTGCCCGAGTGCCCCGAGCCATTTGGCTTCGGGGCTAAGCCACCTCCGTAGAAGGTGGCGAAGACGGGGGGTCTGGTAGGGTCGAGAGATATCGCACCTCTCTTCCCTAGCCGGCTAAACCCCCTTTTCCAAAGGCAGCTGAGCGGCGGTCAGCAATGGCCGCCACATAGAAGAGCTCAGCCGGAAAAAGAAAGTGCAGGAGGAGCTGTGAAGAAATGAAAGTGATCTTTGCTGACCGGGACAAAGTAACAGTGAAAGTACCCTGGAACTTAAAACCTATTAAAGATACATCGTTTCCAGAATGTGTTAAGCGGCGAATGGAAATTAAAGGAAAAGCTTTTTTTCTTTTCACTCTCCTTCCGAACGTGACAGCGATAGAACTTTAAGAGAAATTGGAAAACCTGCATTGGAGGTATGGATTTCTGAACATTTAAAGGAAAATCTTTTTGCTGTAAGTGGGAAGGGAGAGGAAAAAAAATTGGAGCAGAATTTGAAAACGAGGAGATTGCCTAGAATTCTAAAGAGGTATTGAATATTAATAAGACTTCTAAAAGATATCTTAATTGGAACTTTTTGATCAAACAGCAACCCCAGAAAGAGAAATGGAAGAAAGAAAAAAGTATTAAAAGAGATAGCTTATTTGGATTGTTTGGTGACTTTGGTACTCTTGGGAATTATTTTTGATTAAAAGCACTCGGGTGGTTGTTCTGGAAAAATTTTTTCTCTTTACAATGGCATCACTTGTGGATGAACTAAAAATTGAATATCAAAAATATAAAAAAGAAGAACAAGATGGGAAAGATACTTTGGGCACTCTTTTTCAATTTCTAGAAATGGCGGTATGTACTTATGAAAAATTGACTGCGCAGCAGGACGACTGGGACAAAGAAGAAGCCATCTTTGATGAACAAATGATTCTATTTGGGGAGGAGGAGAAAGAGGAAAAGAAAAAGGGGATTTTAAGGCTTGAAAAAACAACCAAAAAAGAGAAAAATGAGGTGAAAGGTGGATACAAGGTTAGAAAACAACAGAAAGGGGGAAAGCAGAAGAAGAAAAGGGAGGAGGAGAGACAAAGGGGTAAAAAGGGCAAGGAGAAGAATAAGCAAGAGAGAAAGGAAGGGATGAGAAGCCTTAATGGTGGGAAGCAAGATTTAAAGTAACAAAATTCATTTAGAGACAATGGGTAAATTTAATTGAAAAAGGGATTCTGTAAGGTACATAAGATTGTGTTCTTATATGTGTATTTAGAATAAAATGCTTAAGATATAAATGAGTATTAATATGTATGATTAGTTTTTTAATGGCATTGATAGTGGTCTTATATACCTATAAATATGTTTTTTGTTGTTGTTGTTGTTTTTCTTATAAAATACATTGTGTAATTTTAGAATGTACTAAACAGAATCCCAATATAAGTTAAGTGTTATATTAAGTATTATTAAGTTAGGGGAAAGAGTTAAAGGCGTCATACTCCAATCAGTGTACAGGAGAAGTTTGTTTAAAGAGAAAAGATGAATGGATAGCTGGAAATAGAACAGAAAAAGAATGATAAGTATTATGATTTGAACTGAGATGAGATAAATAAAATAAAACTAAGAAAGATAAAAGAGGGAAGAAGCTATATAGAAAATTAAAAATGGTAGTAAGATATGGAATGGTATATAAAATGAATATGATTTTTGAATTTGTGTCTGTACGAAGAGTTTTAACCCGGGATCAAGCAACTTTCAGAAAAGATGTTTTATGTTTTTATGTTCTATGTTTTGTTTGTTTGTGTAAAAAATCAATAAAATTGTTTTCAAAAAAGAAAGAAAGCATAAAACGCAATCTTAGTTTCAGCAAAACCTCTTTTTATTGCCACAGCTGTGAATTACATTCATTCACAGCCTGCAAGTCTTCACAAACAGTCTTTCAGGGGAATGTTTATAAACACCCACTGTATTGCACTTGGAATGCTGCCAGAGAACTAATTGCCAAATGCAGGGCAAGGCCAAACTTGACACAGAGTCAAACAGAACTTTTCAAAGCTTGAATTGAAGAGACGAACTAATTGCTTCCTGCAAAAGGTCACTTCCTGTTCGCTCCTCTTTTATGTCCTATGGGAGGGGCCGATCATCTCCAAGATGTGGCCTTACTCCTGAGTCGACCCTGCTTTCTCAAATGTTCGTGTCTTCTGGTAGCTCTGCGCATGCACAGGCTGGGAACCGGTTCCAGAAACTCCCCCACCTCATTGCTGTCTGAGTGAAGGCAACTGATGACTGCCAGCCTACCCTGGCCCCATCTCTGCCTCCGATGCCCTCGTCCGAGCCCTCCTCAGCCTCCGAGAATGGCCCAGGTTCCTCCCCAACCTCCTCACTACTGTCCGACTCTGCTGCCAGCTCCGTCAGCCGCCGGCGGGCCACAACACCTGATCCAAATTTCTGATGGTCCCCTCCTGGGCATTTCAGCCCTTTTGCAATGTCCCACAGTCATATGACCACATTTTACAACACTTGTTGTCTAAAACTGATACTTCTGATTTATAACAAAGTCTTGCCATGCCAAACAATGGTTTTGCTTAATGACAGTGATGTTCACACTTATAATAACGGCACTCGCTTAATGACTGCTGCAAAAACCATAGTAAAACAGCGTCATTCACATTATTGATCTGTTTTATGACTGTTATGACTTAGGACCGTAATGGGGAGGGTCCATTACAGCCATAAGTCAAAGACTCCTTATAGTTAAATTGATTGAAAAGACCCAGTCTTAATGTGCTTTGTAAAAGGGGCATTGCGGAAGCAAGTTGGAAGTCAGCATGATTGTTTCTTTAAAGTGCTTTTTTCAACTTTTGAATATTTAGCAGGATGTGTATTCTTATTTCAGGTAATTGAATATAGCTGCATTCAGGATTTCATGCATCATGCAGTTCATCTTCCCCGGAAATCCCCCCTACATGCTAAAGTGCGAGAGGTGAGGGGTTTGTTATTTCAAGCCATTCTTTCCAGGCCACCTTTTGGGATTCCTTCTCAACATCAGCTTTGAAAGAATTCTTGATTTAGGACAGCCTGTCGTTTAGCAGATGGAAAGGTTGCTTGGCTACCAAGACTTAGTTGTGTGAGATTCTCTTCCTGGTTGACACACCTGTATTTCATTTATGTATGTTACTTGAAAGGGAAAGCAAATATATACCATACACATGTTAGAGATCTATTCTGCAGAACATTGCAAATTTCATATATAGGTATCATGTGAGTCATATTTTTCAAGAGCTGAATAAAATTGGTTGGAGCTAATCTCTTCAATTATTTTTATTTATTTTTGTTTATTAGATACTGAGCTATTTCCACAAACAAAATAAACGTCGCGAAGGAGTCGAAGAAGTTCTTTATAGGCTTTATCAACCTGTTCTTTGGAGAGCTTTGAAGGTAACGTATTTCTATCAAACTGTCCTACTTTTGACCAGATAATTTTCAAAAGCTAGACTAAATTTAATTTAAAATTAAATTGTACATGTATTTTATCAGGCCAGGAATCCTGAGATCCGTTCAAATGCAGCACTACTTTTTAGTGATGCATTCCCTATTCTGGATCCCAGGTTTAACAGAGAAGATTTGCAAAAGGAAATCCAGAGGCAATTTGATGAACTTTTTGTAAGTACTTTTTAAATTCTTCCTACGAAGTTTTATTTAATTTTTGTGTGTCTCATTATTTGGATAGCCCTCCTCCTCTCCTCTCCTTCTCATTGTCAGTTAGATTTTCTTTTTCTATATGCTTCAAAGGAAAAGGGGGGTAATATAAATGAATAATTCTATATTTCTTAGCATGGGAATTACATCCAAAACTTTTCAGCCGAATACTGAATACTATTTCATTCTTCTGCACTATATAGTCTTCTTGGTTCAGAATATAAATTTCTGATGAGCATCGTACTAGTAGTAACAAATAAAGTACAGATTATGAGATATCTTGAAGGCAGTAAGTTATATATAACAGAATAACAAGAGTTGGAAGGGACCTTGGAGGTCTTCTAGTCCAACCCCTGCTCAGGCAAGAAACCCTGTACTATTTAAGACAAATGGTTGTCCAATCTCTTCTTAAAAACTTTCAGTGTTTATTGGTTCTGATATATAAATATATTTTGTACTATGGGAACTCTGATATTCTATAGGTATGGCAGGCTACAAAACTAGTACATTATTTCTAAAAATGTTAGACAACATCCAGAATTATAAGCACTTCCCTTCTTCTCTACATGTAACCTCCTTAGATCAGGTCCAAGGGGTAATTGCTGAATTTTCCAGATCAGATTTATACAGCTGCAGAAAGGGAAGCTTAATTTTTTGCCCATCTGCTCATTGTTTCTTCTGCTAATGGAAAGATACCAGAAGATGAAACCAATTCAAGTTAATAATGAGATAGTTTCCAGCATTTTGTTGACAAGGAGCAATGCAAATGCAAAATAGAAAAATTTAAATGCAAAATAGAGTGAATATCATAGCATTGTTGCTGTTTACTTGAATTGTATTTGCAGATTCTTTTAGACGATCCTCAACCTTTAATCCGTTCAACAGGAGTACTTGCAGTTAGTAAAGTAACGTATAGATATTGGGAGATGATTCCGGAAGTGATGCTTGCTCAGCTTCTGCAAACTTTGATTGAAGATCTTGCTTTTGATGCAAGTTCTGCCGATGTCCGATGTGCCGTTTTTAAAGTAAGAGAGTAAATAAAGCATCTTTTGTTTAGCCATTACCATCTCTCCTTGAAGAAAATTACTGTATTTTTCAAACTATAAGACGCACCTTGGTTTAGAGGAAGAAAACAAGAAAAAAATAGTTTTTTGCCTCCGTGTGCCCCATTTTTGCCCTTCCCGGCATCCAGAAGCACTCTGCAGGCCAAAAACAGGCCTATTTTGGGCCTCTGGAGGCCTTTGCGGGTCCTGTTTTCAGCCTCCCCGATGCTGGTAGGGCAAAAACGGGATGCACGGAGGCTTTGGAAGGCCAAAAATGGGCCCATATTTGCTGTATAAGACGCACAGACATTTCCACCCATTTTGGGCAGGGCGGGAAGTGTATCTTCTAGTCTGAAAAATATGGTACATCATGCAAGATAACTGCAAATGTTCACTTGCTTAATGCACTTGGGCTTTAGTTTGCATGTATACCTAGTCCTCAACTTATGACCACAATTGGGACAATCATTTCCATTGCTAAGCAAGGCAGTTAAGTGAGTTGCACTCAATTCTATGACCTTTTTGACATCTTTGTTCAGTGATTCACTGAAATTATTAAATCCATCATGCAGTCCTTAAGCAATTCGAGCTTCCCCCCACTGACGTTTTTTGTTGAAAGCCGGCTGGGAAGATTACAAATGGCAGTAACATAACCCAGGATATTGCAGCTGTCATAAATACACGTTAGTTGCCAAGTACCTCAATTATGATCATATGACCTTGGGGATCCTGCAGTGGTCGTAAGGGTGAGGACTAGTTGTAAGTCACTTCTTCTAGTGCCATAGTAATTTTGAACAGTCATTAGACAGATGATTGTAAAATGAGGACTCTAGTAGCTTCTGGTCAGCATGAAATAATGTTCTGAACATCGTAGGCTATATCATTGCACAACACCAAATTCTGGTTATGGATGTTGGTTTGCTGCAATAGATGTTATCTAAGTGCAGATTATCACAGCAAATTGATCTTTAGGGTCCTTGTGCTCTCTGAACTTGATTGTTGTTGTTTTTCCATACATTACATTGCCCAACAGACGGTCTGTGTTTAGGAAAGTTATCATCAAAGCTGTTGCTCTTGAGTATACTTAAGCTTCCACTGGCTAAGATGAATCTACTCACCTCCCTAGGTTGGGTATTGTAGCATCGTTTCCTTTTTAAGAAAAAGAAAAATCTTCAAAGTAGGGCCACGGAAAGCATATTGTAAATCAAAAGCATGCTGCAAAGTGTTGGTGAACTGTGAAAAGATGCTATATTTCATTAGAATTTTAATATCTAAGCAATATTGTTTCAAGAACTCTGGATCAATGGGCACCTTAACCCGAAATAAAACATAAAAGCTAGACATAGAACCTTCTAAAATCATTAGTTCAAGATTCCTTTATCCGTATATCTGATCTTTTTGTTCTGCTTCACTAGCACATTCTCTTGAAAAGAATTAATAGAGAATTTGTACCATCACCCCACATGCTACTTTGCATTTAAATGACATGTTTAATAAAAATGGATTGTCTTGCCTCTTTTTCATTCCCCAGCCTCTGTCCTCTTAGCTTCAGGTATTTGGCAGGTAGAATAGATTCAATGCAAGTAGCCCTGTTTTCTTGTGATAACCTTTTATTGATGTTTTTCTGTTTCTCTTCCAGTGCTTGCCTATAATTTTGGACAATATACTGAGTCACCCATTACTGGAACAGCTTCTGCCAATCCTGAAATACAATCTCCATGACAATTCAGAGAAAGTTAGGGTGGCATACGTTGATATGTTGCTGAAAATTAAGGCCACGAAGGCTGCAAAGGTGGGATAAATTAGTTTGCTAGGCTGCAGACAGAAACTAGGCAATTTATTCTGAAGTGGGTGCATTCATCAATATTTTAAAAGGAAAATAGTCCAAAGAATTCATTAACTTTTCACCCCAAACAATTTGCCATTGTTACGTTTTTAAATTAATCAATAAGAAAGAACTTACAATATTCTTTCTTCCCTGTAGTCTTGCTAGCAGTTATCTTTATGGCAGGTCCAGTAGTAAGGTAACAGTTAAACGGTAGTATTTGATTATATTTCTGATGATTTATTTTTTGAAATCATGTGCTCTTTCTTTGCAAGAGATTCAAATTATTTTTAGTTGTAAAGTAGCATCCTGCTGAAGGATGGCATGAGTTTGAGATGTCACTGAATAACCTGAGAGGGCAGAAAATAAGTCAGGGTTATATTGTTGATTTATTCCCTATATCAATAAGCCAGATCAGTGAAGATCAGATCAGTAAAATATTCTATCTAATAGAAGTCTCTATGGTCCAGACCTCATTCTTGGAAGATGTGCAATTATTCTAATACAGCTGTACAGTATTTAATTCTGAACAATGAACTGGTTTTTGAGTCAGAATGCAAAGTTTGAAGTATCCCTTGGTTAAATATAGGCTACCTTAGCAGAGGCAATATCAAAAGAACTCTGGCCATGAAGGAACAAATAGTTATGCTTATTTTCATGGTTGGAAAACAAAGTATTTTTCCGATCTAATACAGGTAGACCCCAATTACAGGTAGTATTTGGCTTACAAAAGTTCATTTAGTTACAATGGAAGTGAAAAAAGTCCCTTACAGCTGGTCCTCACATGACTATCGCAACATCCCAAAGGTCACATGATCAAAATTTGGACACTTAGCATGTATTTACAACAGTTGCAGTGTTACAGGGTCAGGTGATTGCCATTTGTGACTTTTGTAGGCAGCTTTAATGTCAGTGGAAGAAGCTGGATTTGTTCAACAACCACATGATTTACAACTGTAGCCAAAAAGGTAAAATCAGACACAACAATAACCTCACTTAGCTATTGAAATTCTGGTTCTAATTGTAGTCTAAGTCGAGAACTGCATATAGTATCAGCTCTAAGTTGGACATTGACATAATATTGCTATGATGTTCTGTCTACAAATGGCTAATCTAAAATCAATGAGTACAATGCAGGTAAAGGCAGGTAAACTGTCTTGATTCCTGAACAGTAAAAGACAAATTGATGTTGCAAAATGTAGGCTGCTTTTCAAGGAACAGGTTTGTAAAAATTTGTGGACAGAAGAGACAGTTTATGAACTTGTCTAAGAATGCAGGATCTTATATAATTATTCAGCAGGAAGTTCATCTGAAGGTACTTCACCTATCAAATTTAATCACAATAACTTTGTTTCTCTCCCATTCCCATCCTCTCCAATCAGTTTTGGAAAATTTGTCCTGTACAGCACCTCTTAACTCGCCTTGAGATTGATTCACGGCCTGTGTCACGGCGGCTAGTAAATCTTCTGATCAACTCATTCTTGCCCATCAGTCAACCAGAAGTGTGGTGTGAACGTTGTGTGACACTCATCCAAATGAATGCATCTGCAGCTAGAACATTCTATCAATACGCTCACGAATATGCTAGTCCAACCAATATAGGTAATTCTGTAGAAAGCAACCTTTGAGATGTTCACCTGGGATATGGAAGTATTGGTGTGTTACAGGTAGTTCTTGACTTGCGGCTGATTCCTTAGTGACCTAATGACTAGTTGTGACCTACTCTCCCCCTTTCTGTAGTCACATAACCACACTTCAGGCCCTTGTCAACATGTCCATATTTATGACCACATTTTATACGATAGTGTCAGCTTTGGAAGCCATATTAGCATCAGAAGCTTCCACGCTGCCACATTCTTGAGCCTGGGAAGATTGGGGGAGGGGGGTGTTATGGAGCGTATGTGGTTAGATATAATAGCATTCTTCTTTAAAGTCAAGGTCATGTTATTCCTGCACCTGGCTGTGTAGTGGTTGAAGGGATGTGCCAAGTTGGGATGGATGATGATTGGGGCATGTGATAGAATGATGGGTGCAGGGGATGGATTTATAATTTTTTACTTATTGGAGGGAAATCCAGAACTTTCAGATTCGGGATTTCCCAGATGTGCCAGTAAACCACCAATAAAAGGAAACTTGGAGGAAAAACTTGGAGTTTTTAAGGGGTTTTCTGGAACCCTGACAGATAGTTTTGCTGCAGAATCACGCCATAGAGAACAGTGGGCTTGCTCAACAACTATAATGTTCACTTAATTATCATGGTTTTGCATTTACCACCACAGAGTTTGCTTAATAACTGTCACAGAAACATTGAAAAATCATTAGCCATGTGACTGACCCATTTCATGACTCTTATGACTAATAGGCATGCTCCATCACGCTTGTGTGTTGAACACTTATATTTATATTTCCACACATTCACAAAGAATCCCTCTATTGCTTTTTTGTAAATGATCAAGGACAGTAATTGTTTCTGAAGAATTCTGGGCTAAACTGAATGCGTTGGGAAGAAAGAAGAACAAATTGATTGTAACGCATGCATAAAAGTTGCTAATTACTGGACAGGCATATTTTAAAATGAAAACAGTACTTAACTTTTCCTCAACATATTAGCTTTTGAGGGATAACTACAGTCCCATTTTAAATATTTTTTTCTGATGTGGTTTTAGGTTATACAGATGTGAACATGCTCAAAACTATTTACAAATTCTGGAAGTTCCTAATGAGAAAAACGGTTGATGAAATATTAATCTAAACAGCTGTATACATTTATTAAATTGCTTTTATTTATTTTGCTGAAGTGTACATATAGTACGCTACTTTTAAAATGAAGCAATATTTGGGCCAGTAGCTTTATGTCCACAGAGACACTTGTCGCAACTGAGATACTTTGCTCTTTAATTCTAGCTAAACTTATGCTTGCCATTCGGAATTGTTTGAACAAGTGTATCCAACAGCAATTAAAGGAATCCGAGAGTGGAGATGAGCACAGTGAGAAAGAAAACATGAGCGTAAGAACAATGTTTTCATTGAAAATGGTTTTATGACAGGTGGATTTGTGATGTTCTATGGATTAATACAGCTAGCATATTTTGCTGCTTTAGCTAATGAAAATATTTCTCAGCATTATAGTTTTCCATTTCAAAGAGGATCTTACATAAATTGTATTAAAGGGTTTGCTTAAATTTCAATCTGGCTTTGAGTGGGTAGTAACTTCATGAGTTGTGACATAGTGCATAATCTAGCAGGTTTGCCTATGAGCCATTATGTTATTTTGGGGGAATGTTAGTTAATAATTATAAATTTTTATGAATAAAAATTCCCAATCAACACTGCCTTTGGCAATCATGATAGCAAGCTGATGTAGGCTGTGCTTTTGATGTCAACCTACCTGTTCATTTACCTTCTAAAATATCAAGATGATATCTATCAGCAAGAAGGTGATGGTGTAAATTATATATTTTGTCTGATGTCACAAGTAAATTATATATCTTGTATGGTGATGACTTGTGACATCATCATACAAAATATATAATTCATACAAGATATATAATTCATTGCAGGTTTGTTAGAGATGGCAATGAACTGATTACTTCACACAGATCCATTAATGTATCCTTAAAATAAAGTTATTGGTGGTGCTTCTTGGTCTGCTTATTGTCTGGACTACTTTGTCCGGCCAATTCTGACATGAATCTTGCAACTCTCAAAATATGTAGGCAGTCCTAGACTTACAATCATTCATTTAGCGGCTGTTCAGAGTTACAGTGGCACTGAAAAAAATGATTGGTCCTCACACCTGTGATTGTAGCAACATCCCCACTGTCACGTGATCAAAATTTTCAGGCACTTGGCAACTGGCATGTAATTATGACAATTGCAGCATCCCACGTTAATGGGATCGCCATTTGTGACCTTCATAGCTAGCTCCCAACAAGCAGAGTAAATGAGGGAAGCCAGATTGGTTTAACTTTTGTAGGATTACTTAACGGCTACAGTGATTTGTTTAAAACTCTAGCAAAAAAAGGTAAAATTGGATGTAACTCACTGAACAATTACTGTTATCATTTACCTGTACAGAAATTCTGGCCCCAATTGGTCATAAGTTGAGGACTACCTGTATCTCTTCCCCTCTCACTTTTCAGACTAAAAAATTAGGGAGAGTCTCTTCTAAGATGCTTGATACTTCCCTGTCCTTCTGCAGACTTTATACTGCTTGTCAGACCATTGCCTCATCTACAGCTCTTCCTTCTGTTTCCCAAGATGATTTTCACATAACATTATATGGTCGTGACTCCCTTTTTTTTTTTTACTCCCCCTGGGAGCACCCCTAGGAGTACTGATTCTGCCTTAAATAATGCAAGTCTTAACATACACATTATTCCATTTTTAAAGTAACCTTAATTTGAGACGTATAATTTAAGAATGGCACCTCCTTAATTAAAATCTATTTTGCATTTCAGGTAACAGATAACTTATTTTCGGTTGATGACATACGTTCCATGGCCGGCTTGCTTGAAATTATTGTAATTCTCTGGAGGAGTATTCAGAAACCACTTGATGGCAATAAAGAAGCAAAAAATCGCATTGTTGAAAAGTTTGCTTCTGTGCTACCAACATATTTTAAAATATTTAAGGTAAATGTCAGAAAAAATTTATTTAATTTGTTCTTTACATGAGTATTATCCAACTGTGGTTGACAGTTGAGAACAAAATATCAAATAACATTACTAGTTTCGGATCCCACAATGTTTGTTCCCATGAGCTGGAGCAATCCATATATTGTCATTAAACACATGAGTTTAACTTAGCAGCACATTGCCAATATAATGGCCGGAATTGCAAAGGCTTAATGCCATTCACAAAAGAGATGAAACTATAAGAACTGTAGCATTTTCTAGGAAAATCTCTGACTAGGCCCAAGTTAAGGATTGGGATAGGGAGAAGCATAATTTTGAGATTGGGGAAAGGATAAGAAATTTTTGATCAGTGGGCAGGAATAAGGAAAATAATTCTGTCAGTGTTCTATGAACTCTGCTTATACCTCGTTGTAGATATCTCTTATTTGATACAGTAATTGCAATCTTCATCTACATTTGATAGATCTTATTCTAATTTAAGACATGAGAAATGTTTCAGCCCAGAGCTTTTATTATTAAAGGATCTAAAATGAGTAGGCTCTTTTTAAAATACAGGACTACTATAATTTTATGAAAATGCAATTATCCGGCTGCGAACATTTTCATCCAAATCGAATGTAACTTCCAATAGGGTTGTTAGTTTATGTTTGTGGCACAATCTAGACAGCCCAAATTATTGGGTAAGTGTTGCTGTATAAGAAGATGCTTTAATAAGTGTCAGGCTCACACTTACTGATGTACCTTTCTGAAAGCTTATTATGCTTTAAAATACAGGGATACAATTTAATGTACTCTCAATTCTTCTGCTTAACAAAGATTTATAATGGATTTTTGTATGTGTGTGCTTCTCATAGGATGATCGTTGTGTGTCTCCAATAATTATTCTGGCATCTTTCATCCCACCTACTGCTATTCCTACATTCAGGTATGGCTTATTATTTTGTAAAGCCAAAAATGTAGATCAAAAGCTTTTCTTTGAAAAGAGGGCTCTCAAGGTTTGATTAGTGGGAACGGAAATTCTATAGCTGAAAGGCTGGAAAGATTTTTTTGGGAGACAGGTTTTTCTCTTTGATCTAATTTAATGCATCACCTTTTCTCTACCGGTTGGTAGTTATGGTGTGATTTCAAAGCTGAAGAAAATGGAAAACGGCGTGATTGAAAAGAAGTATTCTATCCTGCTTGACTGTCTGTGTCGATGGGGAAAATTAGGAGATATCCTTGAATTAATCTGTGATTGGATCACGGCTGAGTCAAGGAATAGAGAGGTATGCTGTACAGATTTGTGCAGCTTCTGGAGTGGGTTGGTTTTATTGTTCTCTATTTCATGCTTACAAATGAAAGGATTTTATTCCCTGTTCTTAGACTAATAAGACTCAACGGCGAGTACAAATCCAAGAAACAGTTGAGTCCAAACCGGAACTGGCCCTTGATTATTTTGAATATTTACTGACTCATTCTATGAACCGACACTGCCTTTTGTCCCTCTCCAGAGAAAAATTGAATGAGCTTCTGAACGTTCTTGAATGCGGAAAGGTCAGCTCCACCATTATTATACAATTGTCTGAAGCAGTTCTAATGGATTCTCCTAATAATGCTTCCTTTACATGCAACTGATTTCTTCCTGGGTGTCCTTTATAGGTAGTCCTTGACTCATGAGCAGGACTGGGCCCAGAATTTCCATTGCTAAACAAGATGGTTGTTAAGTTTTTCCCCCCCATGGCTGTTGTGTGAACCGCTGCATTTGTTAAGTAAATCATGCAGCCACTAAGTGAATCGGGCCATCTCCCAATTGACTTCGTTGGTTAGAAGATGTCTAGGTTGCAAATGGTAATTGCACGGTTCTGGGATGCTTTGTAAATACATGCTGATTGCCAAGCACCCCAAATTTGATCACATGACAGTAGGGATCTGTGATGGTCATAAGTGTGAGGACATTTTATTTCCAGCACCTTTATCATTTCAGACGGTTCCTAAACAAATGATTATAAGTTGAGGAATATCTGTATTTGTCCCATAAGTGCTTAATAAAGTTTTAAGCAGTTTCTTCCAACAAATGAGGACCCAGATTGCTCGGGGCAATATGCTGGCTCTGTAAAACCGCTTAGAGAGGGCTCTAAAGCACTATAAAGCAATGTATAAGTCTAAATGCTATTGCTATTGCTAAATGTAGCAAACAGTCAATTGACTCAGGTGTGCTGTTCTTCCTAAAAAGGGCTATCTCCTTGCGCCCAGTATGCATGCCAAAATGGGGCAGTGCTGATTTAGATAACATTACCTGGCCATGTAGAACAGAGATCTCTGCATGATATGAGGGAATCTCATATCCATGCACATATCTTGTGTGCTGCTGGCTCCAGTCCAGTATCTGCCTTTACATAGGGACTAGAATGTGCTGACGTGAGAATAACCCCCAAATAAAATCTCTTCATGAAATGAACTCTTAAAACTCCACAGTGCATTAATATTGGATTGTTTATTGATCGTTGAACCGATTGGATGCTGGGTTGGATATTTATACCCAAGTCTGGTGTGAAATTTGTTTTCTGCTTTAGGATGACTCTAAAGTTGCTGTGGGTGGACATGATACTGAGAGGTATAAAAAATCCTGTACGGGCAGAACATTTTCCTCTTAGATAGGGCTCAGTCATTATTTTTTCCCCGCTCTTTTTAAAAATGTGGCGGGAAGCGCAAAAATTTGGGGGAGGCAGAAGAAACCTCCATTTCAGAAGCAAACTTGGTAGACTGACCTTTTGCATCAATGGCACTGAACTGGCTACGTCCTACAAAACCATCAATTAGAAGGAGAGCAGTCTGTGCAACTAACTTCCAGTTTTCTTTATTATTAAATGTGCAGCTACTCTGCTGCTTTTAAAAACAGTCAAGCCCTATTGCAATTAGGGAACTAGAGAATATAAAGCATAACACCGAGGTCATTGCAGTTAAAATAAAAAGCAAAAATTAAGATCAACCCCCATCAAATATGATCCCAGCATTATAGCAATAGCACTTAGACTTATATACCGTTTTACAGTGCTTTACAGCTCTTTACAGAGTCAGCCTATTGCCCCCAACAATCTGGGTCCTCATTTTACCCACCTCGGAAGGATGGAAGGCTGAGTCAACCTGGAGCCTGGTGGGATTTGAAGTGCCAAATCTCAGGCAGTTGACAGTCAGCAGAAGTAGCCTGCAGTACTGCACTCTAACCACTGCACCACCGAGGCTCTTATTATATACTTTTAATTATTGGAATACTGGACGTTTATGTTTCAAAAAACAATATAAAACATTTCAAAATAAATAGAACATCTACAAATTTGAACGAAACGGGAAAGATATCAATATTTCAAACCACCTAACCATAGTGGGATTTTTTATTTTTTTTTAAAAAGAATTTAAATGTTTAACGATATAATTTAGTTTAATATTAAACATGAAATATTTCTTCTCCCAATTTGTAGGATGCGCTAGATTCTTATATTCGAGAGGGCAGCCCAGAATATTGTGGTTTTTATCAAGCAACGGCAGTGAGAGCCCTTAGCCTTTACTGTAGATTCAGTATACATCTTTTACATCAGGTATTGTAAATCAAAGAGCTCTGTCCATTTGAGTAGAATGAATATTGAATCCTGCAACTCCATTGTAGCTGGATATGTTTCTTTCTCTTAACAGTTTGTCTCTGAAAAACAGAATTATCTGTCAGCTTTGGAAAAGATAGGGACCTGGATAGAAAACAGCATTCTGCCTCATTTTTTGTTAGAGGAAGAAGAGGGTTATTTGAAGCCATCCAGTGAAATCTCTCAACTGGTGATTCAGGTATTCTGTTTGTGTGTGTGTGTGTATTGGTTTCCTATTTAGCATGCTCCTTATATCTATATATATAAAAGTGAAATACCACTTGCGCATCATCACAAAATCTCCAGAACCATAAAGCCTACAAACTTGAAATTTGGCATGTATTCTAGGTGCTCACTAAGAAAGGATTTTTCGAAATGACCATCAGAACATTAGTATTTCATATATTATTAACACGCTCTGATGCTAAGGAGTTCTACTCTCCCTCCCCACCTGAAAAGAAATCTGTTCCAAATGCAAAACACAAGCAGAGGAGAGAAGCTTCAGTTTTAGTTTCACAGCACCAAGCAGCTTTAGTACAGAACAGTTGAGCTAAGCCTTGCTGTCCCCTTGCTCACACAGCAAATACTGTTTCAGTTTCCAAACAGCCTTCAACTCTCACACACTGACAGGAAGCTAGCCAGATGAATACCGATGGATGCTGATAGGCAGAGGCACAATCCCCCCCCCTTATTTTCCTCCCCCAAAACTAAGCCCGATCACATAATTTCGTAGCGAAGCACGAGTATAGAGCTAGTATAGTGATATATTATTTATTAGATTTTTATCCTGCCTTTATTACTTTATAAGTTACTCAAGGCAGTGAACTTACATAATATTCCTTCCTCTTCCTATTTTTCCCTCCAACAACAACCCTGTGAGATAAGCTGCACCCAGCTAGACAAGCTGGCTTTAATTGTTTGTGAGTAATCTGTCTGACTCAGTGTAGACATCACTCCCATCATAAACTGTATTAAATTTAGAGTAACCCAAAACATTGTTTGTTTTCCCAGTTCAGAGGCAACCGAGGATTTAGAACTACTTCTGCATTTTAGTTTTCCATCTGATCAGAAACACATTATTTTATTTTATTCATTGTATTTACATTACAGTTTTCTTCCAGGAGTTCAACCTTGTTCACTTCTCCCTCCTTTCATTTCATTCTTTAACAGTCCTGTGCAATCAACCAGGTAGGGCGATTGTGACTGGCGCATACATTGAACGTGATAACAAGGCTGGGGCATCCTTTGTTCTTCACTGTGTTCTCTGTATGTGATCACCTGGGGTGTGTGCCTGTGGAAAGCTGGTTTCAAGCTTACGGAATCGTTTGTCAGAATTGATTTTAGATACCTTGATAATGTTCCCTCCCAGTTTTCTTTTCTTTTCTTTTCAAGCTAATGATTTCTAGGCTTCTGTTCTTTCCTTGCATAGATCATTTCGGTTGCTCTGGTTTGACATTCCAGCTCTTTTAAATCCCTTTCTCAGACATGACAATTAGAACTCTTCACATTACTCGCAGGGTTGATGTACCACAAATTTGTATGAAGAAATTACAAAGTTGATGTATTTATTTTCAATCCCGTCAAATTTCCTAGCATGGAATTTGCCTTTTTCACAGGTAGTCCTAGACTTACAATCAATCATTTAGCAACCACTTAAAGTTAATGCAGACCTTCAAAAATGGATGTTTGATCCGAGTTGGAAATTTCAATAGTTGGGTGGGGGGCATTGGCACTTGACTGCACTTTATACGCCCATCAATATGACCGCAATAATGGCCATTTGCAGTGTCCCACAGTCACGTGACTACATTTTATGGCTGTCACCTCTGGTTTTCGATGAAACTGCACCTACAGAGAACCATTGGTTTGTTTAATAATGACAGCATTCACTTAATGACCATAGTGTTCATTTTACAACCGTCACATTGATCTAATGACTGCTGCAAAAAGACATAAAATCGATTTAGTCATGTAATTGTCCCATTTTATGGCCATATTGACTTTCGACTAATGGGCAAACTTCATTATGGTTGTAAATCGAGGACCGTCTCTATACTCGGTCGACACTTTCACTGTGGCTGGCCAGACCCCATTTGTGTAAATGGGAAATTAGAGTCTTTTCTCCCATGTACATATCTTTAATTCAATTAACTTTGTCCTTTGGTTGACTCTCCATCCATTTTAAAGAGATTATTATGGAGGTTTTCTGATTCTTGTTTTTCACCACTCTGAATAGTGTGATATTATTTGCAGGCTTAACTAGCTATGGAAGAGTTGCAGTGCTTATGAACTTAAAAATCAAGGTCTTTTATGACTGTTTAGAATTAAGTGAAGAATTTGTTCTCATGGATTTACCTTTACAGAGAAAAAAAAATCTATTTTGTTCCTACTCTTTGTTTTTTGCATTTTAACCAATTAACAGTTCATAAAATGAGGGATCCTCTTATCTCATGGTCTCTAAGTTAGCCCAAAAGCTTTTGATGAGAAACTTTATAAAAAGTATTTGAAAACCCATCTATCTACATGGTCACCTTTATACATACACTTACAGACACACTTAAAAAAAAATCACCTTAAAAAAACTATGTTTTTTTCCCTCTTGCAAAATCCATATTGTTTTTCCTTCAGCAGGGCTGGTATAACATTAAGAAACTGGGATTTCTAAAAATAAATCTGATGAAAGCATTTAAATCACTTTTAGTATTTTCTACTTTATTGAGAACTAGTAACTTTTGTTTCTTAATAAATCACCTGAAAAAAATGACCCAATCTTAGCTGTTCTATTTTAGAAGTATAAAAAAAGTAAGTTTTTGTTGGTTTATAAATGTAAAACATACCTGTTTTTTGTTTTTGTATTTAGACTTACCTAGCAGTATGCAAAGATCTTATAGCTGTTGGACTTGGTGATTTCGAATTTCAAGCTAGTTTTCTGAACTTGGCATCTAGGATCATATACAGAAGTATGATTTATATATATATATCTATATATACATATTGTATTTTTCCCCCTTTCTATACAATTGTATGAAATTTATACTGCCTAACAGATAGTAAAGACTGATGTTGTCTTACCCCAAAACTATTAGGATAGTATAAGATCAGTGACAGACATCACAATCTATAAATGTAGTAACAGATAACAAAATTCTCAAACTTATATGATATAGATTTATCAGCCTTTACTGCTAGTGTGCTTTCCCGTGTGTTTTTTGGAATATTTAATCTTCAAGGCAGTACTTAGACCACTAAAAGGCTAGCTTTTTAAAGTCAAACATGGCATACAGCATATGATATGTATGAAAAATAATATCCTGTTTCTCCAACAATACGGCCTCCCCCAATAGGAAGTCCCAGCATGTTTTATAGGCATGAAATGAAATTAAGCCCCTCCCCCCAAATTAAGGCCTATATTAAAACATGCGAAATGGGGGGGAATGGTGGGGGGGGGCTTGCCGTTAGGAAGTACTTTTGTTGCACACCCGGATATGGTGCTGCCTGCATTGACCCCGATACGAAGTGCCCCACCAACGCCGAGGTCAACATCCAAGCCGTCGCCGCCCGCCTGAAGATGCAAGGGGGGCGGGGAATTAAGTCACCCCCGAAAAGACGGCCTAGCCATTTTTTCGGGGCTTAAAAAAAAATAAGACCCAGCCTTATTATATGAGAAACACGGTATGATGAAATGTAACTGAAGTGTTGCTGTTTTCTTAAGAGATTCCGGGTTCTATCCATTATTTTGTAACTGTCTCTTTATTGAAACAATACAAATTCAACAACTTCCAGGAATTAATAAATTCATTGCCCTCCTCCTAGTGGACCCTCTAGATATATGAGTTTCAAATTCAGAATTTGAAACATCAAGACTGATGCTGAGAATTCTGGAAGTTGAAAACAGTTGAAAAGTGTCCATATTGGGGAAAACTCTAACAATATATTTGGAATGGAATAACTAAGTTTACTGTCTGCTATATATCTTACTTCTTCATAGAATGGAAAGTAGACTCTTCCAACCTTACATTTCATAGAATATAAGATTGGAAGATTATTTGGAAATCATTTAGTGCAGGGGTCTTCAACCTTGGCAACATAAAGACTTGTGGACTTCAATCTCCCAGAGCTGGCTGAGGAACTCTGGGGGTTGAAGTCTACAGGCCTTGAAGTTACCAAGGTTGGAGACCCCTGATTTAATGTACTCCTCACACTGTCCAGGAATCCATACTGTGGCATCCATGACAAGTGTCGTATTTGAACATATTCAGCAGAGGAGAGTTTACTGCCTCCCAAGACAAGCTGCTCCACTTTTGAGCAGCTCATGGGATTTATTTCCTGACTCCCAACCAAAACTTATTTCTCTGTCATTTTAACCCATTGTTTCTATAACAATTCTGAGGACCCAGATTGTTGGGGGCAATATGCTGACTCTGCAAAGCTCTGTGAAGCTGTATATAAGTGTAACTGCTATTGCTATTCTGAACAGTTCTACTCCACCTTCAGGTAGCTCCTAGTCTTTTCCTCATTAAGCCTGCTCCATGTGTCTTGATAATATTTTTCTTCCTGGTTGTTTATCACCTTCTTTCCTCTCCCAGGGATCCCCTCCAGTGTGTTCAACATTTCCCCAAAGCATAAATTTAATAAATAAAACAAATAAATAAAAATAGGGTTTGCAGAGATAAATGGAAGGGGTGGTCTAATCAGTGCTGAATAGGCAGATTCAATTTCTTTTTCTGATCCAGACACTACACTTTTGAAGATACAACCTTAGAGTGTGCTTTCTGTTTTCCATGTTTTGTTTTGTTTTGTTTTGTTAGGAAAAGGCTACGTTTTAACTCCAATGTTGCTTTCTATCCTGAGAGAGATTGTTAAAGCTTCCTTAGCCTGTGACATCGTCAACACTGATTGTATGACAGAACTTCTAAATAATGTTCAGAAAATGTTCCAGAAAATTCTAGAGTCTATGGCGGTTAGGCTCAGAAGTCGAGAAGAAGAAGGGATCCAGGTACCGATTGCATCTGAACTTGGCCATATTTGTATTCCCCTTCTCTTCCCCCCCGCCCTCCCCCACTCCCCTGGTTTGAATTTTTCTATTTCAACAATTGTTCTTAGTTTTAATAATCAATCCCGTTCTGATTCTTGTTTATAAAAGAAAGAATTCTGCAGCCGTAATTGAGAGAAATGGTCCTCCACCGTAGCTCCAGACTTTTAAGTTTTGCTTTGAACATTTCTCGTATATTTCAGACTGTCTCTTCCTTTTAAAATACCAAAATGCAATTACTTTCTAACCAACTCATATTAGCAAAGGTGTTCAGTTTTCTAATGAAAAAACTGACATTGGGTGACATTTTGTGACAGAACTAAAATCGCTCAGAACTTGGTGGTGTTTTAAGTGGGAGCTTTGACAAGTCCACATGAAGATCATTATACAATCCCACACTTTCTGAGATAACACTTACCCTTGCTTTATTTTTTTTAGTTTTCTTTGAAAATCATTTTGTAAAAAGGCCAGTAATAGGCAGGGTAGGAATGTAAAAAAAAAACCCAAACCCTTTAAGTTTCAGAGATGATAGGATAACTTTTCATAGATGATAACATTGGTTTGAGAAATAAAATTATTGCTTCTTAAAGGGACAGCACATGCACAAGATGCCATGATAGGACTTTCAATTGTTTTATTAGATAATTGTGCTACATAGTTTCTTTAATGTCATCTTTTATTGTCTCTGCTACCTGCCTTTCATATTTCCAATTCGTTGTAAGGCTATTAAGTTCTTTTCTCAGCCTCAGTTTTTTTTTTTTTTTCAGATTATAAAGATTCATGACTGTTTCTTCTTGAGCCTTTTAATACCTCTTTATATTGAAAAATAATTCTATAAAATGATTGCCCCTGGACTCTGATATTGATTTTAGCCTCCTTTAAATAGCCCTGGGAGAATTGGAATGTTTGGTTGTTTCTTTTGAAGTTTGTGCTGTAGTGACATAAGGGAAAGTAGATACAGGTAGCCCTCAATTAATGACCAATTGTTTAACGGCTATATACAGAGTTATAACCGTCTTGGAAAGAGTGCATTATGGCCGATAAAACATCTCCAGCCATCTTAAATATTGCACTCTCCCTACCCCATTCCAGCAGTTATATGACTGCATTTCAGGCACTTGGCAATCGGCTCATATTTACAACTGGTTGCAATGTCCTGCAATCATGTGATTGCGATTTGCAGGAGGTGTTGCTAATTTCCAGGAAAATTACCTATTTGGGAGAATTGATATGGACTTACGATCACCATTAAAACAATAATAAAGCTGAGAGTCATGTGGATGTCTCCACTTAAAACTGTCACAACATAGCACCGAAATTCCAGTTCCAACTGTGGTTGTAAATTGAGAAATACAAATACTATTAATGTGTCCATATAAAAAGCTTAGACAGATGCTAGATTTGCCTGGTCCCTTCAGAGTAGAGAGACCTATTTCTATATGAAAATAGAAGTATTTTACTGCAGTTTTTTAGGAAAGAATCAGAAAATAATGCAGCCTTTAAACTAAAAACTTTTCTGGAAGCCTTGTATGTTTTAATCTGCGTAGTTGTGCATTTTTGTCTCAGCTTCTTTAAAAGACATATAGGTATCATATAGGCTTGTTGACTATAAAACTGATTTTTCCGCCCCCACAGTTAATTCACTCGGCTCAAGAGCATCTTGGAGAAATTGTACACGTAGTCCAGTCCTGCGTGTTGATTTTTCCAGTGGTTTATCAAGGAATTATTTCTTCTCTTTTGGCCGCAGTAGTGGTTGAGATAAATTACAGCTTGAAAAAAAAGGTAACATGTTTTGCTTTACTATTCTGGCAGATATGCTGTGTGTGCATCTAAGAATGGGTTTAAGCCAGTGCTTCTCGACCTTTGTAGTTTGAAGATGTGTGTGCTCTCAGAAGGCTGGCTGAGGAATTGGGGGAGTTGACATCCTCATAATTTCAAGGTTCCAGTGAGAAACATTCGTCTAAGCAAATATTCAAGGGTTTATCAGCTGTGATGGAGATCAGACCTCTTGAGGTTCACTAGTATAACTATATCATGTGCCTTCTTTGAGTCATAATTAAAAATAATCAGGGGGAGACAACATCATAGTGACATAATTTGCATATTGTGCTATAATGTACAGTGGTGCCTTATTACTTTATTACTTGTCAAATTTAGCCTCAGTGCACATTGAGGCAAAAATGTTGTCCCGGTACCTGTCATTTATTTGGTACTGGACACACTGTGAGAGAAAGAGGGGGATGGCCACAAGGAAAGGACAGGAAGTTGGCTATGCCGGGGAGGTCAATGCAAAAGGAAGTGGGGGGTGGCCAAGAGGGGTGGGCAGGAAGTCAGTCATGCTGGGGAGGTCACTGACATAGGAAAAGGGACAGACATAAAGTCCTTCCCGGCCGAAACCAAAGTTCACGTGGTAAGTCCTATGGTTTGTTTGGTACTTGTCATTTTTGGTACTTGTTGCCCCTTCTGGAATCAATTAATGAGAAGTTCTAGGGTACCACTGTGCTTTGTTTGGTCTTAGCTTGTTATAAGAACCCATACCATAGGGTTATGAGGTACGTTTTATGGCTTGCTGTAATGTGTGAATTTAGCAATTGATCTTGCTGGATATGAAAGCCAAACAAGCAACAACTAAGTTGCTATGGTGGCTGGAGAACTTTGGGACTTGAAGTCCACATTTCTTAAAATCACTATGGTGAGAACTATTCCTTATTCACACAGAATCTCAGGCAATGTCTTTCAGGCAAGGTCTTTTCAGTATGGAATATGTGGGGAGAGAATGCCCAGGAGTGGCTAGAAATGGAAATAATTCCCATCATGTCAAGTTAGTTCAATGTTGGTATATCTTTTGGGCTTGGCATGTTAAAAATTCAGAAAAGGCCTACCTTGACTCACTGTGTCACACACACACTCCACCATAGACAAAAGAGGCCTCTTGACTGCCTATCTGGACTCTCATCTCCTGGACCAATAGCTAACCTTTTTGATGTCATGTGCGCATGCACACGTGTGCCTGCACCCATAATGGAATGTGTGCGTGACCCCCCCCCCACATGCACGTGCGACCCCCCCTGCATGCACAGCTTACCCCTGCGTGCCCCGCAGATGCGCATGTGTTTCTCCCATGCGGCCCTCCCCGCGCATGAGCAGCAGATACCTGACAATCAACTGGCAGAAGGCACACATGCATACACAGTAGATCTGTTCCGGGTGATGGCTTGGGTGGCACAGGTTCGTCATCACGGTCCTAGACTCGACTCTCCTCCTCTCCCAACCTCCAAAAGTTAAATAGAGGGGTCTCTGGAGGCTCAGAAAATCGCATGAGAATGCTCATGTGATTTTCAGATGCCTTGGAGCAGAGGCCCCTAACTGGTACTGACTCATGGCCAGTTAGGAAACAGGCCACGCAAGCAGTGGGCAAGTGAGTGAAGCTTCATCTGCCCATACGTAGGATCTAGGTTGAGTGCAAAACCATCCCTTCCTAGTTCATGGAAGACAATTTTTATCCTGAAACCAGTCCCTGTTTTCAGAAGGGAGACTGTATCAGAGCAAGGTCCTCTTGCGTGGCTTCTAGACTCTAGCTAATGCTGTGTTTGCCAAGATAGTGTAGTTTTGAAAGCCTTTTCTAAAACACATTCTGCCTTCATATCTCCTCATACATCACTTCTCAGGTTTCCAAATTTTTTTTAAGAGCTGTAACCATCAGAGGAGAACACTGTAATTCCCCTTAGTCCAGTTTTTGGTGACCAATTGTTCATGACTAATTTTCCCATGTTCTTCTTTTGTTATACTTGTGTTTTGGTCTGTGACCGCAAATAAAATATTATTATTATAAATTTCTGTACCTGTAGAAATGAGGGCTCTCAAATTCTAAAATGGCCCTTATTGGATGCACGTCTGTTAAAAAAACAAAAACTTCACTAAATATTTTGGAATTGATCCTGATGGTGTGAAGGGGCTGAGCAGAAAATGGTTGGCTCTAACCCCTTTTCCCCCAAGCCTCAAGACTAACAGGTGCTGAGCTGTCAGTCAAGCTTTTAGCCTTCAAAGGGGGCTGATGTTACATGCCTTCCAGAAAGCACAATTGCAGCTTTGCTGCTGTTATTTCTTTTCCCACAGGATTATTTGCCTGTCTTCTCCTCCTTCCAGACTGTAGCTCTTTCAAGGATCATAAAAGACTAAGGACAGTAATATCAAATGCCAATTGTTGTTCTATTTATTGCCTTCTGATTTTCTAGAAGCACTTCTTCATATTTCTTTTGTTTTAGGTATCACATGCAGAAGAACTAATAAAACCTAAAACATTCTTAGATCTCCCACCACTTTCAAGTGTTTTAATGACGATTGTGAATAAATCAGGAAATGTGCTTAGGTAAGGTCTTTTATAGGTGGGGATTCTTGATCCAATTTTTCCCGTTTTCCCACAGTATTGTTTCTGTTCTCAATAGGCATGCTAGCATTGACCAACTTATATGCAGTTCTGATTTTGAGTTGGATTTTTATTTTTATTTTATTTTTTTGAACTACTGAAAATATTCTACAGAACTGGAATTTCATAATTTCAGTCTACTAATCTTTCTTAAAATAAGAGCTGCAGTTTAGTAGTAGTTTATACTGAAGATTCATTAAATGCTATTAAAACAACAGATTTTAAACATTCAAGCATCTTTATTACATTTAACACTGAAATAATTAGTATTTCTGAGTATTACTATAGAGCAATGTCTGAGGCAAATTGATTTTACAAAAACCTACATCTGTTATATAACTACTCTGGAATATAAGATGTTGATAACATTAACAAGTTTTTAGATTATCTGTGATGCTATTCCAGCCAATTAGGTTATGCTCCAAAGCTGAGCGCTGTGGTTAGGCTAGTTGGAATATAACAACCTCTCCCTCCCTCCTATCTATCTATCTATCTATCTATCTATCTATCTATCTATCTATCTATCTATCTATCTATCTATCTATCTATCATCTATCTATTATAACAGGGTGTTTTTTTTAACTGAAAGGATGTTGCAAAATTGCTTCTAAAGCATCAGTGCAGCTAAATAAATATGGAATGCTATTTCCTGCATCTGAATATAGCTTATGATTTCTGGAGACTTGCTGATTTTGTGATTCTCAATTCCAGAACCCCCTTACTTTTTCAAAAGCATAAATTAAATTCTAGAAATAAAATGTCTTCTATTTTGTTCCATTCCCCTCTTTCAAATTTGTTAGAAGCAGCAGCAGCAGTAGAGATTGTGAAAGGGAGAGGATAATGGCTTAAATGCTAAGGGTGGAAGCAATATCTTTTGAGGAAGAAATGTGCTTCAGAAAGCTGCTGATTACAGCAATATGAGAGCTAATAGAAGGAAATTTCTAGAATCTGAGTCTAACAGTCTTATGAAGACTTCATAAAAGGTTATAAAATTTAAACATTCTGCAAGGTCATGAATTCATACTTTGTTAATCTGTCTTAAATTTCTGTATAGCTCATGTTTTTGTATATTTCATGCATATTTTATTCAGGTCTTTTCTGAATGAATTATTGGAATACATTGAATCTGAAGAATGTGAAGGAATTATTAGCCTTACCACTAGTGTGTACATTATTGCTTTAATTAAAGGTGAGTAATAGCCCCATCTCTCTAATCCAATGGAGTTGTACAAGCTTAATTCCAGTTTCTAGATTTCCAAAGTGCTTTTGGTGGTTCAGGGTGAAGGAATTGAAGTGATTACTTTTTGCTTCGCTTCAGGGAAAACCACGAAACTTCACTAGGCTGTATATAGGGTCAGTAGCATTTGTTTTAAATACCGTGTTTCCCCAAAAATATGACTATCCCGAAAGTAAGTCCTAGTTTGATTTTTATATGTGTGCCAAATATAAGCCCTACCTCCCCCCCCACAAGTGCTAATTAAGACCCCGCCCACTCCAGGGTGCATGGGTAAAAATTAAGCTAGGGTTGGGATGGGGGTGGTAGAGCTGCCTTACTACTTACCTTCGGACAGTTGCAGCCAGGCCTTGCATACCCCGACACCTGCCTTGCTGGCCCATTTCTTCTGCAGCTGGGAAGGCTTTCCTGAAGGCCTCTGCAGCCGATAACGGAGCTCCAGATTGATCCGGGGCTCTGTTATCGGCTGTGGAGGCCTTCAGAAAAGCCTTGCCGGCTGCAGAAGAAGTTCCATGGCGACGGTGCAAATGAGGTGAGTCCATGGACGACATTCCTCCAAAATAAAACCTGGTGCCTTTTTTTGGGTGGCAAAAAAACCCCACATGGTATTATTTTCAGGGAAACATGGTAGTATACCTTCAGGTGAAATAATGAGATTTGCTACATATACCAACTTATTCAGCACAATAAACACTTAAGTGGACTGGGAAATGCTGTGGAAAGATTAGGCACATACTCTTTTTTAAAAAGTATATTAAAATATTGGTATAATCATTGATGAACAATGAAATGAGCCTTCAGTCTTCAGAAACACAGGTGAAACTCGAAAAATTAGAATATCGTGCAAAAGTTCATTTATTTCAGTAATGCAACTTAAAAGGTGAACCTAATACACTGCTCAAAAAAATAAAGGGAACACAAAAATAAGACATCCTAGATCTGAATGAATGAAATATTCTTCTTAAATACTTTGTTCATTACATAGTTGAATGTGCTGACAACAAAATCACACAAAAATTATCAATGGAAATCAAATTTAGTAACCCATGGAGATCTGGATTTGGAGTTACACTCAAAATTAGTGGAAAAAAACACTACAAGCTGATCCAACTTTGATGTAATGTCCTTAAAACAAGTCAAAATGAGGCTCAGTAGTGTGTGTGGCCTCCACGTGCCTCCCTACAATGCCTGGGCATGCTCCTGATGAGATGGCGGATGGTCTCCTGAGGGATCTCCTCCCACACCTGGACTAAAGCATCCCCCAACTCCTGGACAATCTGGTGCAACGTGGCATTGGTGGATGGAGCAAGATATGATGTCCCAGATGTGCTCAGTTGGATTCAGTCCTGGGGAACGGGTGGGCCAGTCCATAGCATCAATGCCTTCGTCTTGCAGGAAATGCTGACACACTCTAGCCATATGAGGTCTAGCATTGTCTTGCATTAGGAGGAACCCAGGGCCAACTGCACCAGCATATGGTCTCACAAGGGGTCTGAGGATCTCATCTCGGTATGTAATGGCAGTCAGGCTACCTCTGGCGAGCACATGGAGGGCTGTGCGGACCCCTAAAGAAATGCCACCCCACACCATTACTGACCCACTGCCAAACCTGTCATGCTGGAGGATGTTGCAGGCAGCAGAACATTCTCCACGGCGTCTCCAGACCTTGTCACGTCTGTCACATGTGCTCAGTGTGAACCTGCTTTCATCTGTGAAGAGCACAGGGCACCAGTGGCGAATTTGCCAATCTTGGTGTTCTCTGGCAAATGCCAAACGTCCTGCATGATGTTGGGCTGTAAGCACAACCCCCACCTGTGGACCTCAGGCCCTCATACCACCCTCATGAAGTCTGTTTCTGACCGTTTGAGCAACCCATGCACATTTGTGGCCTGCTGGAGGTCATTTTGCAGGGCTCTGGCGGTGCTCCTCCTGTCCCTCCTTGCACAAAGGCGGAGGTAGCAGTCCTGATGCTGGGTTGTTGCCCTCCTACGACCTTCTCCACGTCTCCTGATGTACTGGCCTGTCTCCTGGTAGCGTCTCCATGCTCTGGACACTACACTGACAGACACAGCAAACCTTCTTGCCACAGCTCGCATTGATGTGCCATCCTGGATGAGCTGCACTACCTGAGCCACTTGTGTGGGTTGTCCGTCTCATGCTACCACTAGATTGAAAGCACCGCCAGCATTCAAAAGTGACCAAACCATCAGCCAGAAAGCATAGGAACTGAGAAGTGGTCTGTGGTCACCACCTGCAGAACCACTCCTTTATTGGGGATGTCTTGCTAATTGCCTATGCTTTTCACCTGTTGTCTATTCCATTTGCACAACAGCATGTGAAATTGATTGTCAATCAGTGTTGCTACCTAAATGGACAGTTTGATTTCACAGAAGTGTGATTGACTTGGAGTTACATTGTGTTGTTTAAGTGTTCCCTTTATTTTTTTGAGCAGTATATATGAGATAGACTCATTACATGCAAAGCAAGATAGTTCAAGCCGTGATGTGTCATAGTTGAGATGATTATGGCTTACAGCTCATGAAAACCCCAAATCCACAATCTCAGAAAATTAGAATATTGTGAAAAGGTTCAATTTTCTAGGCTCAAAGTGTCCCACTCTAATCAGCTAATTAAGCCATAACACCTGAGCCTTTAAATGGTCTCTCAGTCTGGTTCAGTAGGAATCACAATCATGGGAAAGACTGCTGACTTGACAGTTGTGCAGAAAACCACCATTGACACCCTCCATAAGGAGAGAAAGCCTCAAAAGGTAATTGCAAAAGAAGTTGGATGTTCCCAAAGTGCTGTATCAAAGCACATTAATAGAAAGTTATGTGGAAGGGAAAAGTGTGGAAGAAAAGGTGCACAAGCAGGCAGGGATGACCGCAGCCTGGAGAGGATTGTCAGGAAAAGGCCATTCAAAAGTGATGGGGACTTTCACAAGGACTGGACTGAGGCTGGAGTCAGTGCATCAAGAGCCACCACACACAGACGGATCCTGGACATGGGCTTCAAATGTCGTATTCCTCTTGTCAAGCCGCTCCTGAACAACAGACAACATCAGAAGCATCTTACCTGGGCTAAAGAAAAACAGAACTAGTCTGTTGCTCAGTGGTCCAAAGTCCTCTTTTCTGGTGAGAACAACTTTTGCATCTCATTTGGAAACCAAGGACCCAGAGTCTGGAGGAAGAATGGAGAGGCACACACTGCAAGATGTGTGAAGTTTCCACAGTCTGTGTTGATTTGGGGAACCATGTCATCTGCTGGTGTTGGTCCACTGTGCTTCATTAAGTTCAGGGTCAATGCAGCCGTCTACCAGGAGATTTTGGAGCACTTTATTTTCCAACAGGACTTGGCACCTGCCCACACTGCCAAAAGCACCAAAACCTGGTTCAATGACCATGGGATTACTGTGCTTGATTGGCCAGCAAACTCGCCTGACCTGAACCCCATAGAGAATCTATGGGGCATTGCCAAGAGAAAGATGAGAGACATGAGACCGAACAATGCAGAAGAGCTGAAGGCCGCTAATGAAGCATCCTGGTCTTTCATAACACCTCAGCAGTGCCACAGGCTGTTAGCTTCCATGCCACGCCACATTGAGGCAGTAATTGCTGCAAAAGGGGCCCAAACCAAGTACTGAGTACTTATACTTTTCAGAGGTCCGATATTGTTCTATGTACAATCCTTGTTTTATTGATTGCATGTAATTTTCTGAGATTGTGGATTTGGGATTTTCATGAGCTGTAAACCATAATCATCTCAAATATGACAAATCACGGCTTGAACTATCTTGCTTTGCATGTAATGAGTCTATCTCATATTAGTTTCACCTTTTAAGTTGCATTACTGAAATAAATGAACTTTTTCACGATATTCTAATTTGATTTTCACCTGTGTAGGTAATCCTTGATTTATGACTGCAATAGAATATGCAATTTCAGTCTTACGCTCTGATGGTTGTACAGTGGGTCACCATGTGACCATACAAATGCAGCAGTCATTAAGTGAACATTATGGTTGTAAAGTGAACTCATTGTTCATTATAGGGTGATTTTTGCTGGAAACTGGAAGTAATAGGAGGAGGAGGAGGAAGTATTGTGTATGTTTGCTGTCCTGGTTAATTATACTGTGAAGTAAAAAAGATGGGGTAAAAAATTAATTAATTAATGCTGGTTTCCAGCAAAAATATCAATTTCAATCACATGAGTGTGGATTGCTGCAAATGGCATAAAAGCAGACAAGTCATAACCAGTTGTAAGTTGAGGACTACCAGTGATAGGTTTAGAACATGTTATTTGAGAAGAAGAGAAATCTTAATTTGCTGCAATAGAGAACAAATATATTTCTCTTTTCCAATAAGACTCAAAAGTCTTCAACATAATCACGTATTTTTGACAGGTAATCAAAAACCTTCCTATATAAAGGCCATTGCAGCTATTCTTCAGAAAAAAATAACAATGTACAGCGAAATTACCAAGGAAGACCTGGAAAGGTAATTTCAAGGGATTTTATATCTTTAAAAAGTTCTGTTTATTTGTGCTGGGGGTAATGCATGGTTTCTGGACTATTAAAACGATGCAGTATTGTTAATAGCTTAATATCATTGGTTTTAGGTGCAATAATAACAATTGAATTATTTTGAATTCAGTTATCTTTTTTGAAGAATAAGAAATGAATGTTTTGAAATGCATTTTCTGAATCTAAATTGGTAGATTAGTACTGGGTTTTCACCTAGAAGCTGAGCAACGTCTATGATTAATTTCATGTGAAGCATACACCTCTTTTTGTTGCATTAGAGAAGAAGAAAGAAATTTCTTTTCATCATGTTAAACCACAGTTCAGCATGGTAACTCAGAATAGTTAATGAGCTGGTTAATACAAATCACAAGCCAGCAGTCCCAAATCTGAGCTTTTTCTACATTTATGAACTCCTGAGTCTCAAGTAATGGCTATGTTAAATGGAGAATTCTGCAGTTCTGCTCCACAAGTTGGGAAGGCCAGGTTAATGTGTCATGTTCTTCTACTTTGATTTAATTGGATTATCAAAGCTTAAAGCTGCAAATCAAGTCACAATGACTGAGCCAATCGGGAATGTTTTTAAGAATCCTTGCTTAGATTTGTGAGCTTGGCCACTATTTCATTGTTATGGGAAATTTGAAATCCCTTGGCAACCTTGGATCCATCAAAGTCAACCAGACAAATGCCAATAAAGAGTTCCCATTCTAGTCCAGTCCAGTCCAATTTTAGAGGCTGCTTTATGCTAACTATTACATACAGACACTATATTTATCTGGAGATGCAGTGTGAAGTAGGTTTTTGGAGAGAGTTTCTACTTATGGCATACACACAACTCCCATCTCTTTACGAAGTTTTTTTTTGCCTGTTCTTGTAAATGGATGAGAGCATTAAGCAAACAGGAACATTAAGTCATAGACCTAGTGTTAATAATGGAGTCATAAAATAATTAATTTTTGGTGATATTTCAGTATCACACGTTATTACAGCTAATGAAAAATAAGTGTGCTTACTATCATTCGTACCTTATACAGTTGTTCACTATTCTTATTTTTCAGACTGCTCTGTAAAGCTGCTTTGGGCATTGTGAATGAAATGCTAGGTCCTAGATCATAGAAACAAGAGAATGGGAAGCAAGATCTTCTTAAAAAGGAACTACATGCCTTATAGTGTTGTGTCTCAAGTAAAATAGAACATTGTTTAACTGTTGTTTTTTTTAATATTTTTGTTGTAGGTTAAAAAAACCATTGTGGTTCAAAAAATTAATTTTATAAAAAATTACCGTATTTGCCGGCGTATAAGACGACTGGGCGTATAAGACGACCCCCCAACATTTCCACTCAAAATATAGAGTTTGTTATATACTCGCCGTATAAGACTACCCCCTCTTCCACACACCTTCCACTTTTGCACTTTTTTTTTTTTTTTGACGCACTTTTCTGCTTTGGACAATTTTGAAATGAGCTAATCCAATTTTGAACCAAGAATATGCAAATAGCTATGGAGTTTAGAAATGAGTTTTAAAAATATTTTTCATTGCTTACCATTAAGCGTAAAATATGTTGTAAATAAAATGAGAACACAGGAAACATTCTCTTCTCAATACAGCTGATCTCTCTCTCTCTCTCTCTCTCTCTCTCTCTCTCTCTCACACACACACACACACACACCAAAAACCCGGACACTGAAAAGGCTGCCAAGGAACAGTATATTCAATGCCTTCTCTTTAATCAAGAAACAAGGAATTCCTTAGAATCTTTTTTTTTCCCCAAGTGGCCCTCTTTAAAAAAAAATATGGAGGTAACACTTTCATTGAAAAAGTCTTCCAGTATCTGGAGTCGCTCAGACATATTGAAGTGAGGCAGGAGAGTAAGTGAAATTTGAAATGATCCAGCTACCGTTTTCTTCCCCTCCCGCCCGAAGGCCATTATCTCCACGTCAAAACGAACGAGGGGAGGCAAAGAAGCCAAACACGCTAAAAAGGATCTCTTTATTTTCCTACACAAGGTCACACCTACTTTTCCGCATTCAAAGGACAACCTCTCCTCACCACCACCACACACACACACACACCCCAATACCCGCAAACAATGTTCTGGGCATTAATCACCATTGCTACATTAACCTGGTAAATTTATACCCTGCCTCCCCCAGTGTTGCTTTGACGGCAGGATTTCACACAGCGGGGCGCTCGCTCGCTCTCTTCTCCGCTCTCCCACTGTTCGCACATGTTGGAAGCACCGTAAAACCTGATAACCCACCCGGGGGCTCCCCCATCCTTAACCTACAGCCGCCCGCATGCAAAACCTGCATGCAAAAAGAAAAAAAGAAAAAGAAAAGTACGCCGCACGTGAGGATCTTCGAATCCTCTCCTCCCCACACCGCTAAGGAAGGAAGAGGGGGAAAGGTTGCGCAGCGCGTGGCGAGTGACACCCGCCACACACACACACACACACACACACCCCGCTCCCCCCCCCCAGCCTCCCTCCCGGCTGCAACTCAAGCTCGAAGTGGGAGTCGGAGTCCTCCCGGCGTATAAGACGACCCCCCCACTTGGAGGCATGTTTTTCAGGGCAAAAAAGTCGTCTTATACGCCGGCAAATACGGTACAGATTTTTTAAAATGCTACTATTTTATACTGTAAGTGCTCATTATCCCTTGTACATATATTTTAAAGGAAACATGACCAAGTTTTTAATTTGCTTCGGTCACATGAAATGAAGAGGATTTGTCTTAGGCCGCATATAAAATATCAAATATAGCTAATGTGTATAAATACTGCTAAAATTACTTAATAATGTTAAATTTCTGTAGGAGATAATCAGGCTGAGCCCAAGGGAAGGGCCAAGTGCATCATAAGTCTCCAGTTCTTTCGCACCCATAAGAGTGTCCACCCCTCCTTGAATTCCATAAGCTTTTATCCATTTTACGTCGACCATTAGCAATTCAGATTTTTACAGAATATTCGCATGTAATATGTGTTCATTTGAACCACTCTGGCTCCTGATTTCTTATGTTTGACAGTTTATGATTTTGTGGGGCAGCATTGTCGCGTTGAGCGACCGGTCTGTTGTTTCGATCTTCTGGTTGATTGCTGAATTCCTCTCAGAACGGGACCCTCGCAAGGGTGAGATACAGAGAAGCCCTCGCAAGGGCGAAGTTTGGCAAAAGCAGGACCCTATCCAGGGTGAGTTTAAAAGTGATTGCAAAAGCGAAAAGAAAAAAGAACACAACACGAAGATATCTTTAGGTGAGGCAGCGCATTGCCTGGGGCAGATGGAATTGTCCCAGTTGAGCCTGAGACAGATGGATTGTTCAGGCTGCCAGCTTGCTCTACGCTGTCCTCTTTTATTGTGCTGAATCAAAGAAGGGGGGTGAGGGATTACAGAAAGACAAAGAAGTTACAAACTTTATCTTTGAGTCCAGGCTACGTGATACAAGTAATGAACTTTCTGACTGATAAACATGTTTTACCGAATACACATCTTTTATCTGACACAGACCTCTGTGTTAATCTTATCAACTTCAGCTTCTTCCTGTCAGTTCTTTTCCTGTCAGCTTGGTGAACTTTGCTCTGAGAGGTATATGTGCTGAGCAGGATTTCTCTTATGGAAAAATACTGAGACAGAATAGCCACACAGCATTACTAGCTGTTCAGGGTATCATGCAGCCCGCAGGTTGGTCACTCCTGCTTTAAAGAAATCTGTGCTTTGAATAGTCGGAACTTTTCTCATTAAATTTTATTTTTTAAGAATCAGAAAGCACATATTTTCAGGTACTAATACTTAGCTAAAGGATTGTATATATTAAACATTGAGTAATTGTGGCTGCTGATAGGATCAGTGATAGTAGACATTTTTATTCCAATAATTGATGATAATGAATAAATTAAACTTTATAACTTTGTAGCATTTTGGATTCTTTTTCAAAACAGTGCTTTAAATTGTGTGGGAAGGGGAAAATGGAATTTTTCTACAACTTTAAAGGAGTCGTGCCCTTCTAGGATCAAGGGGAAATTGCATCATTATAAGAAAAGACATAGCTGCTTTAAAGAGTCATCGATAAGTGTTACATTTGTATGTGTTTTAGAAAACCTTTCCCTGATTATTTATATAGCATTAAATAAAAGATACATGCTATCTGTAAGGAATATTATTGAAAGAAGACACTCTATAGTTGTTCATGCATGTTTCTATAAGGATCTCTAGAATAATAACAATAATAGATAATTTTATATAAGACTGCTTTTTGTATGATAATCTCTGTGGGTGAAATAGGTTGGACTTGGAAACATGGAGAAGAAAAGGGGTGCCTGACTGCCTGGGTCATCAGAGAGAAATAGGGAAGGACACCGTATTTCAATTCTATCTTACACATGTATCCATATAGGTAGTGGTGGGATTCAAAAACTTTTACCACTGGTTCATTGGGTGTGGTTTGGTGGGCACACTCTGCGTGCTTGCACACACTTTGCATGCACCCACGCACCAAACGCCACTTTGCGCAGGTGCAGAGGCGTTCCAATTCACCCCCTGCAAGCCTGCACTCTCCCGGTTGCTTCAGCAGCTGCCGTGTGGCACAAAGCAGCTGCGCTTCAAAAGCAGTGGATAAAGGTGAGTATGGGAGCCCAGGTAGGTGGGCAGCAGAGTGGTGTAGAGAACTGGTTCGGTGTCTGCTGCTCATCACTGCTACTGGCTCGGCTGAACCGGTAGAATACTACCATTGCATACAGTTTTATATAAATACCAGAGCAACCTAACTCATTCTGCTTCCATTCATATTTATCTTCTGCTGCAATAGTGCTGGGAGCACTCTAGCCTACTATGATCCTGCTCTTCATCTGCCCTCCGCTGAAGTTTATTCAAGCTTTATTTAAAATTCGTTTAGGAAGGCTTGTAGGCTTAACATTTTGCAAAGATAAATGTCAGGGTTCCAGAAATTGTTCGGTTTAATCAGTAACTCCGAGACAGGCATATTCTCAAAAAACCTGGCACGTCTGTGAGATTTCGAAAACTAAAGTTTCCTCCCAGACCTCCCACAATAATCAATCAACACCCACCCATTTTCTCCCACATCATCAATCATGTGAACCAATCACCCTTCAACTACAATTCTTGCTGCGCCATAAAGAATGACCTTGATAGTCTTAACGTATCTATTATGTCTACTAAAAATTACTCAAATACCAACAGCCTCCCCCTTCCATCCTCCGTATCAGTGTGGCAGCTTTTAATAGGGATTCCAAAGCTGACAAATTGTTCTAGAATCTAATCCTGTTACAAAATGGCGGCACATTTCCCACAGTCATAATTTTGTATCCAAACCATTGAGCTATCAATTTGACCCTTTGATCTTTTGTTACTAATAATCAGAATTTGGGAGACTGGGTAATGTGACTGATTCATTATTATTTTTAAAAACTTTTTTTGTGGTAGTTGTTAAGGGAATCGCCATGGACATTAGGTGAAACTGAGAAACATGGTCATTAAGTAAGCCAATTATTCATAATGGGTATGGTTCAGCCAGTCATAAATTGAGAGTTACGTCTATTTTGCAAGATTAAACTTGTTCAGTTTGCTTGTATTGTTTTCTTCTATATCTTAATTTCTATGGTTTAAAGAACAGTGACTCAGCTCGACCCATTCAGAGTACAGCTGGAATGGTTATTTCCCTTGATTTGTAAACGATACTTCTAAGTATGTGCAATTCTTGTCATCTTCACCCCCTTTTGTGTGTGTGTGTGTGACATCAAGAGTATTTCAAAAATCCATGGAGACAACTACACTCTAAACCAAACAGCCTGAATTGTTCTTCCCATTGTTTGCAATACGCCTATCTCTTCCTTTTTCTTTTTGTTGCCTGGAATGATTAATGGAGGCCATTCTGCTCTAAAAAATGTCTATTGTTCATGCTATCAAGGAGAAGCATTGTCTGCAGATTTATAGGACCATTTCCTTTCTGAGCACAACTGCGTGGAAAAAATCTTAGCCTTTTTTGTTAGTCTACTGCTGACAATGATTGGAAGCTTAGGCTACAAAAATGCCACTGTTTAGTGCTTTAAAAAGCATCCTTATATAAGTAGTCCTTGACTTGTGGCCACAGCTAGGATAGGAACATCTGCTAAGCTATATGT